CGTGTGTGTGTGTGCGTGCGTGTGTGTGTGTGCGTGCGTGTGTGTGCGTGCGTGCGTGTGCGTGCGTGTGTACGTGTGCATGTGTCTGGACAGCGGGTTGCGAACGATCGCTCGTTCCGTCTGAACTTTGCAGTCGTACGAGGATCTCGTCACGCGACTCGAGCCGGTGATCATGGAGCTCGAACGACAAGAGAACGTGCTGGTGATCGGACACCAGGCGGTGCTGCGGTGCCTTCTAGCGTACTTCTTGGACAAGAATTACGGTAGCTAACACGGCGACTCGTCCCAGTAGTTGGAGACGGTCGGAAATCGATCCAAGGGATGATAAAGTGCGAGCGTGTGGATATGAATCGCTACCAGTGCGATATGCTGTCTGTTTGCTAGAGTGGTGATTGCAGAAGCCCCTGCGTGCTTGTACGGAACGCATACGAACGATTATTAGTCAACCGGCGAATAAGTGATCACATCCTGTAAGCCATTCGCATGTCTGGCGTACGCTTGTTTATATATGTCTATCTCTGCAGACGATCTGCTGTGCTTAAAGTTCCCGCTGCATGAATTTGATTCGCGTGTCTGACGTACACTTGTTTATGTATGTCTATCTCTGCAGACGAGTTGCCATACTTAAAGTTCCCGCTACATGATTTGATTCGCGTGTCTGACGTACACCAGTTGTTAGTATATGTCTTGCGTCTCTGCAGACGAACTGCCATCTTAAAGTTCCGCTGCACAGATTTTATTATGCTGTCTGCCCGTATCACTATTGTTTATACATGTCTGCCTCTCTGGCAGACCGAACTTCCATACTTAATAGTTCGCCGCTGCACGAATTGGGTTTGCGTGTCTGACGTACACTTGTTTTTATACATGTACTGCCTCTCTGGCCGACGACTGCCATATGCTTAAGACTTTCCCGCTGCACACTGGTAAGTGAAGCTTGACGCCGCAGTGCGTAACGATGCAGGTTTAGGAGAATTACGGTGAACATACTCAGCCGTAAAACACACACCGGCCCGAAGCGCATCGGTAACAGTCTTCTCCTCCTCGCTGCCTCCTCCTGCCTGCCTCGTCCTCCTCCTCCTCCTCCTCTCTCTTCCCGCCTTCTCCTCCTTTCTCTGCCTCCCTCGCTCCTCCTCCTCCTCTTCTCATCCTCCTTCCCTTAGATTGCGTGCGACGTGCCGATGTGCGCCGTCTCGTGGCATACCGATTTTCGGGTAAAATCTTTTCGATGCCGAGCGTACGCGTTGTGTGCCGTTAGCCCGGAATAGTATATCGCTCGATCTCATCTTCTCACCGGCCCGAGCCTGGTCAGCTCGCATTCGGCGAAGCAAGCATTCCGACTATCGCTGAAGCTGGTGTCCGCCAGCCGTCATCGCCGTCGTTGTCGTCATGCGTCGCTGCTGTTGGCTGCTAGTTGTTGTTGTTCGTTGTTGTTGTTGTTGTTGTTGTTGTTGTTGTTGTTTGTTGTTGTTGTTGTTGTTGTTGATATTTTGAACTATGGCACCTTGCAGGTTTCATTGTATGCGTCGGAGATCGAAAAGGGCGACCAGAGGAAGAGTGAATTAACGCGAGACAACAGTTGGAAGCTAAGTGGCTCAAATTTTCCCACTCTTTTTACCGTCGAGCAGAGATGTAGTTGGCTTCTGCTAGAGACGGCCATCTTTGATGCGGCAGTGCGAAATTAGTGTGCTGTATGGGCTTCAACTGTCCGGGCGAAAATGCGTGTCAGATCACGCATTTCTGTAGCTCCGCTTCTGATTGGAGGTTTTATGGCTGGTTACAACGTCACCGCGCGTCTGTGTAAAAAATTGATTTTTCTGCTAGCTCCTTGCATCTGGTGCAAGTAGCGCACTTGATTGCGCATACTGAATCTTCTGCGGTGCTTAAAGCTAGGTGTCTATGAGCTGCTTGCGCGCCTGGTGGCGTACGGTGAACTGCACTGCGGCGGGACACGTGCAGTTTTGCCTACTGCTTGCACGCGCTGCATTATTTAGTTGATGTGCTCCCCTAGAGAGCTGTGGTTGGATGTCGCACATACGTGCACTACCCCATATCAGTTAGCTTCACCCACGCACTCCCCGTATCCACTGGACGTGGAGTTTTTGAATATGAAATTTACAAAATCACAGCAACGGTATTCTAATGTCCGAAAATCTCAGGCTAAGCTGCAGAATCTCTTGTGATTGACGTTTCTTGAGTGCCGGGGGCTAACCAACTCAAAATTATAAGAATGTGTCGTGAGACGAGAAGGCTCGACAACTTGTATGGTCTGTGCATCTGTGTGGAGGTCACTCCACCACTACCTCTACCATAATACTGTAACGTTGTAATATTTCGTGGTGTTTAAATTTCGGGAATTGTCGCGAACAGCGTCCCCGACTAGAAAATAACACACACGGAATCAATTCTATACCGAATAATTACCGAAATTTCATAATTCACGGCCGAGCTGCGCACATTAACCACTCGGCGAAATTGATCCGTGCAAGTTCTTGAATCGCGAAAATATCTTGCAGCCGAACTCGGAAAATTGGCGTATTACAGTAGATAGTAAGATGAGCGAAAGCGAAGTTGACAGCTTGAGTTACATGTAGGCGAGCAGTAAACAGCCATGCATACATGTTGTGATCAGGAGTGAGAGTAATAAAAATAAAATTTTTGGAACTTGGCGGTAATATATAGTATCTTATAGACGTAAACATAAAAAATACTTGAAATTGCACATGCATTTGAGCGGTTAAAACACTGTTTTAGTGGCTCGTATGTGTACATAATGAACCAATATATATGATTGTAACGAAACATTTAGGCTGGTGGGTATATAAAAGTTATGTGCGATAGGGAACACATTTACGACTGCTTCATTTTCCGGCGACAGCAGTCATCAACGTTCTGTTTACAATTAGACTTTGCTGCTTTACGGCTACAGCGCACCCCCTCCCCTTTTTTCTCGCTATCTCTCTAGTTCTGTTGCTCTCTCTCCGCTCCCTTATCTCTCTCGCGTCTTCTTTCTCTCCTCTCTCTCTCTCCTCTCTCTCCCTCCCTCTCGTCCGTCTGTCTCCTTTCTCGCCATCTCTCTTTCTCTCTCTCTACTTCTTCTCTCTCTCTCTCCCTCTCTCCTTCTCTCTCTTCGTCTCTCCTCTCTCTCTCTCTCTCTCTCGTCGTCTTCTCTACTTCATCTTTCTGCTTCTCTCATCTCTCTCTCTCGTCTCTCTCCTCTTCTTTCTTCTCTGTTCTCTCTCTCTCCCTCATCTCTCTCTCTCTCTTCTCTCTCTCCTCTCCTCCTCTCTCTCTCTCTCCTCTATCTCTATCTTCTCTCTCTCTTTTCTCTCCTCTTCTCTCTTCTCTCACTCTCTCTCTCTCTCTTCTTGTCTCTCTCTCTCTGCTTTCTCTCTCTCCTCTCTCTCTCTTCTCTCTCTACCTCCTCACTTCTCTTCTTTCTTCTTTCTCTCTCCTCTTCCCTCTCTTTCTCCTCTTCTCTCTTTCTCCTCTTCTCTCGTCCCTCTCTCTCCCATCTCTCTCCTCCCCTCTGGCTCTCCTCTTCTCTCCTCTCCTGCTCTCAATTCTCTCTTCTCTCCTTCTCTCATCTTCTCTCTCTCTCTCTCCCTCTCCCTCTCCCTCTCTCTCCCTCCGCGTGAGTAATCGAGAGACGCAGTGTGAGTGTGCACCGCTTGCAGCAGCACTTCATGTTCGTGGCGTCGTCACTAGATGTCGCCACTAGATGTCGCCGATCGCAAGTCTGGCAGTTGTTTCCCGCAATTTCTCGTCGCCTCCGCGTGCGGTCACCTTCGGTCAGCCGATCGCTCGTCCGACGAAACTTGACCGTTGCCGTGAAATCGCAAACGAAAATGTGAGTGAAACGGATTTTCGACAGGACGATGAATTCACAGTTGCAGCTTATGCATAGATCGGTCTCAGCGGTACCCGCCCTCTTTCTCTCAAATATATCCCTGGTAACGATGATAGGTGGGGGGGGATAGGCTAACGAAATGACGGGGAATTTCTGCAAGTATTATTACATTTTTTTAATTTTTAATTAAAGTTTAATTTTTTTAGGTAAATTACATTTATTTTGCATTTCGTGATGGCTGGCAGAGAGGAGTGTGCGCACGCGAACTATCGCTGGGTTGGCGTGTCATTACGCGACGCATTTTTAATTACACTAGCTTATTATCGTTAGCATGCATTCTCCTCGGCCTGTTGCTAAAACGAAAAGTCGAATCAATTCGTTCTTTGCTCCTGCAACAGTATAAATTTCGATATCGCTCTGCTTCTGCCTTTGCCTCTGTCTTTCCGCGGTTTCGGAATTGCGCAACTCGTTCGACATCGGAGCTCGTTGCAGCTCCTGTTTTTTTCTTGTGTTCGATGTTGCAGAGGCGAGGCGCGGAGGCAGCACCGTCGCGGACGTCACTGCACCTGCACTTGTTAAGTCTCGGGGCGCGCTACACCGCCACGGATGCTGCCGCCGGTTGTCACGGTAACGAGTGGGTTGTCGCGCGAGGGAGCGGCGGCGGCGGCGGCGGCGGAGGCGGCGGCAGCGGCGGAAGAAGAAGAGCGGAAGATTGTGCGGAGAACGAGTGAACTAGCGGTAACCTTGCAGGGTATGCTGACTGTGTGGCGGAGGAAGCTCGGTGTAGAGTGAAGGAGAAGCTTGGGTGTGTGGCTGAAGCTCTAGAGAATGATGCCGAGAGGAAGCTTGGGTGCTGGCTGAATCTACGAGTAGAAGTGCAGAGGGGAAGCTTGGTGTGTGTGGCTGAAGTGTCAGAGAGAGCAGAGGGGAAGTTGGTCTCTGTGTGGCTAAGTTGAGAGAGAAGAGCAGAGAAGGAGCCATTGGTGATGTGCTAAGTGTAAGGGAGCAGAGTCATCGTAGGGAAGCTTGGTGTGTGGCTGAAGTGTGTAGAGTAAGAGCAGAGAGGAAGCTTGGGTGTGTGGCTGAGAGTGTAGAGAAGAGCAGGGGGAGCTTGGGGGTCTCATGTGGCTGAAGTGTTAGAGAGAGAGCAGTGTAGGGGAGCTTGGTGCCTGTGGCTGAAGTGTAGAGAAGTGGGGGCGTGGAGGACAAGAGCAGAGGGGAAGCTTGGGTGTGTGGCTGAGCTGTAAAGAGAGCCAGAGAGGAAGCTTGGGTTGTGGCTGAAGTGAAGAGAAGAGCAGCAGGGAACTTGGCGTGTGTGGCTTGAAGTGCAGAGAAGAGCAGAGAGGAAGCTTGGTGGGGCTAGTGTAGAGAGAGAGCAAGGGAGCTTGGGTGTGTTGCTGAAGTGAGAGAAGAGCAGAGAGAAGCTTTGGTGTGTGGCTGAAGTGAAGAGACAAGAGCAGAGAGAAGCTTGTGGGTGTGGCTGAAGTGAGAGCAACGAGCAGGAGAGGAAAGCTTGGGTGTGTGGTGAAGTGAAGAGAAGAGCATCAGAGGGGAGCTGGGGCTTGTGGCTGAAGTGCAGCAGAAGAGCAGACACAGAGCGAAGCATTGGGTGTGTGGCTGAACTGAAGAGAAGAGCAGAGGGGAAGTTGGTGTGTGTGGCTGAGTGCAGAGAGAGCCAGAGAGGAAGCTTGGGTGGTGCTGAAGTTGGAGCCGCAGAGGGAAGATTGGGTTGTGGCTGAATGTAGAGAAGACGGCAGAGAGGAAAGCTTGGCGTGCTGTGGCTGAAGGTATGAGAGTGGGCGTGGGGAAGAGCAGAGGGAAGCTTGGGTAGTGTGGTGAATGGTCTAGAGAAGTGCGAGGGAAGGTTT